TTACGTGTTTATTTATTAGTATGCACTGTCACACATCCACTGTAACAAGAATTTTGTTATCATTTAACCAGCGCATGATCATTTTCTTGTGATTAGTATTAATTTATAATTAAGCTGAAATAAGCATTATTTTTATCACCAGTCAGTCATTATTGACGTAGATTACCTGATACGAGTGTATATTATCATTCCAATGGAATTCTAAACTTCAGAGATACAATTTGGAAGGAATAAATAAAATCGTAAGATTAAAAATGACACCTAACTCATGACATAAAAGAAGATAAATTGAATCGTCGTACTATTGGCTGATATTTGAGCTGACCGTTTCATCTCACAGTGGTAATGTACTATGCGCATGTTCCGTGTTCTACGTTACGTATGATTGACTGTTGAGCGATATTTATTTACATCACATTCAATATCTCCAATTATTGTTTAAGCTCCACAACTGTTATGTAAAGTCTTATGATCCATAGCATATATATACATATAATTGTTATAAGTAAATGGTGTAATGAGTTAATCGACGTGCCTTAGAGTAGTTTAAGACACTTGACTTTCAACAATGTGCTCGAATATTCCTAACTTTGCTCTTGAACTGCTTCAGATTTCTGATGCAGATATTTCCCTTTATTTAGTTGAAGGAAATAAAAAGAATGAATTGAGTAGGATGAAAAGCATTCATTTTATTCTTTTAGGTAACCTATTATTTTTCTAAATCATAATTACAAAATACTTTGAATGTACTTGAAATAATGAATTCGTTCATACAGAATCGATAGAATTTGGCCATCCATCGCGTCCATTTCGTCTTATTTCGAACTCGTTAGCTGGATGGATCTGGATTCGAGAGTTGATTTATCTCGGAAATGCAGCTGACGTCACATATAGGACGAAACACACGTTTTGGATTCCACATTCTGTTTATTCGATATAAATTTATGCAATATATATATATACCATATGCAAAAGAACATTTCGAAAAATTAATAATAACAAAAGATGAAGCAACCGAACTGAAATGATTACCTAATGAATAATTGCTAATAATAAGTAAGGATAGTATACATTTAGTGAATCCTGATTAATTAACCATAACATTCTTGAATCAGTATAAGATTGAAAATGATAACACAACAAAGTTATCAAATAAGAGAGAAATATGTTTTATGTATTATTATTATTATTTATTCTACATAAATGGATCTAGTTGTTAATGCATTTAACTTTTATTCTCAATTATCCAATTAGTAACTTGGTTGATTTCATATAGGATTGCATGATATAATCGTTGTGTGTTTTTTTTTTAAGTGAACGGGAAAGTTTACTCTATTTTCACATAGAACAATTTAATATCATTAACTATCAAAAGCCAATTCTATCAAGTTAACTATGCCATGATATTGTGAGTTGTAATGATTAGGTTATAAATAATTATATATAGAGGTAACTGAGACATATTCATATTATGAATATTGATTTCATCATATACCCTGTATGTATGTATCTATCTATGTGTGTGGTTGCGTGCAAAAATTGTTAATTAGGCCAAATGTTATTGTATTTGTATGTGAATGCAACTTGACGATACTTTCTACTTATTTCTAATAGATAATAAGTGATACATTATATAAAATAGATTAGTTACAATTTCATAATATATTCATCAATTGTGAAAATAATCGGTTAAAAATTTCAATATTCTGTCGATCTTTCTCATTCATTCATTCATTCATTCTGACTTTGATACTGGCTTGTTCGCTTTTCTATTTTTACATGTTATGAAATAATACCATTGTTAAAAAGCTATATATTTCTTTGATAATTTTGATTATTACCCTGAAGAAGTCCAGATAAGTTAGCTGGATGAAACGTTGGAATTAGTTAAATTTCAATTGCTGAGAATATTTCAAATATAATTTTCACATATAATGACTTCTCTATACTCGGTGCTCAATTACTGTCAAACTATTCATTCTAATCTTGACGAATATTCCTATAAATAATACCATTTTGTTTTTCTTATTATTGTTAATACTATTGAAAGATCAATTGAATAGATCTAAAGACAAAACAACAAGTGTGATTTTGATTCTTTCTCTCTCTCTCTCTCTCTCTGTCGCTCGCTCGCTCCTTTTTTGTTTACCTGGTTTGTATTGTTTATTTGTTTTATTCTCTTTAATTAATATGGTTTGTATTCATTCCAATCAAATCATAATTTACACATTTCGATGTGATTTATCTACAACATTAAGGTGTTTTTTCATTAAATGATATGAAATTGTTTGAATTTTTCTATAGTAATTACATTTCAAGTTAGTTTATTAATCTTCTATGGTTATTCTAAGGTAATTTCATGGTGTTTAAGTTAGTACCTATTTATAAAGAAAAAAAAATCAATCTTCTCACTATTTATTTGTGCGGATATTGTAGGTCAGTTCCTGGAAACTGATAACTTATTTCTGTCTCACTAACTTGAAATTTCTACTACCATACACTAAAGGTAGCATAACTCCTTGAGTTTCATAGCCATTGAGTTATTCATAACACTTGTTTCAAAACACTTTAAATCTTTAGATTAAAACATTGGAAACAAGCTTGATACGATAGGTTGTTAAACAATGCATCATTCTTGTGTACTTGGTTTCAATACTTATGGTTTGTGTTAGACCTAGGCTACAATCCGGTAATCCAAATGAAAGCAGATGGTTTCCGTAGTACAATCATCCCCAATTCCTATATCATCTGAGAGGATATATATATATATTAAAAATTCCAACTCAATTACTCTAACACCTGATCATGTGAAAGCATTGTGTTGGGCTCCCGTGACCTGGTAATATAGCAATATTTCACGATGGAGTGCAGACAGTGTTAAACCCCATATAGTCGCACTATCTCATTGGTATTTATCTTCTAAACGCTTCTGCCTCACAAAAAATATTACTCCTAAGAAAACCTTTGACATTCGCGTATCATCAATAAACTTGTATTGTAACTGTACAACAGTTAAAAGTTAACAATACCAAATCATTAATCTGATAATGACTGTTCTCAATTTGAGTTAATCTCGGAAATCAACATCAGGTGAAATGTTTTTTTTAATGTTTTTGCTGAAAACCTTAACCAAATTAATTATAAATACCATATTATAGATGTGTAGGTGTATACACTCCTTGTCTTCTTTTAAACCATAGGATTAAAATTACTTTATACCTTTCCGTCTACGAATCAATCCTTTTTCCCTGTATCATATCCTCATATATGCAATCTTTATTCATATATATTGTTATCATTGGAGTAACTGCTTCTATGTATTTGACGTTCATCTTGTCGTGCTAATAAAGTATGACAACCTGAGCTAATGCATAAATGTACCCGATCCTACGTTGTCGATGACTGACTGATGATCTCGATATCCAATACTTACAGGTTTTTAATAATAGTCTAGCTTAGATCAACTCATGATTTCACCTGTGGAAATACATCAGTCTCTATAAATCCCCCATACTGATAACAGAGTCATGTGCTCACTAGTGATTAACTTGAAGATGTAACTCATGGGAGAGATCCTGACCAGTGGAGTTTAATCCTTGTTAGATGGAGATAGTTATCCACATTAGGATAATTGGTGAAGAAATTCATTAAACAATGAATAATATAATCAATGATTGTATAATTAGTTCCAATTAGTTAGTTAGTTTGTTAAATAATGATGATAGATAATTACAATTAATAAAATGTACTTACTGATCAATATATTTTTTTCTTTTTGTTGTTGACTGGATCGAATTAACTAGATGTCTTATATTGAGTATTAATTTGTAAAAAAAAGTGGTTGTTATGCATAATGAAGTGTACTTTTTTTTGTTCTGTACAAACATAGAAATGAATTTATATAACTCGTTTTTTTTTCGTTTTTTATTATGTAAATAGAGAAGTGTTATTGGTTGTTGTAACTGATGTTATTGTTGTATTGACTATGATCTTAAAATAAAGTGAATGATTTCGATAAAGTTCTATGAAAAGTATCCTTAAATAGAAAATAGTAGTATTTATTGATAATGTTGTGTGATATCATAATGAATATAATTTGACAGTGGGAATTCTTTTATTTCCAATCAGTGTTCCTTATAAACTGTGATATCTTTTGAAGGACTGTAAACTTTTTTTTTTTGATGGTTGACATACTGTGAAGTAATCCAAAGCCAGCTACTACTAGCCTAAACATGATGGCGTTTTTTTTCACTGTAGCTTACAGACTAAGAGATTTGGCTTTCAACGTATATGTTGTGAGTTCGAACCTCAGCTCATCTGCTTCTGTTTGAACACCTATGTAACATAAATCACCAGCGTAAATTAAAAGTTTTAATATTATCTTATACTGTTCATTCTCTCATTACATCCCTTCTATTTGGAGCATATTTCGTTTTCGTTACTATCGATGATACTACTACTACTACTACTCATCTTATCAGTTTCATCTCTATGTTAATATGGTATGGTAAATGAAAATGATGCACATTTGTGCCAGGGCTTGTTTTGGTTGTGACTGACTAGCTGATGACTCGCATTCACGTAAAATGTCTGATGTAAAAGTAAGTGTATAAGTTTCTAGTTGATAATTGAGTAGCAGAAAAATAGCCCTGTTCTCTACGAAACTTCATTGTTCAACTCAATTATCTGATGCATATTTATATACTTGTCTCTAAGCTAGCCCCATAACGTGGGTTTAAAGGCTAGTGTTGCTACTCATCTGTCGAAAGTGAATCTGATATATAGTGGTTGAAAGTCAAATTCATTATCTAGTATAAGACATTGTTCTACTTCAATATGCTGAACTATGTAAAATGAACCGGAATGAGGTAGCTTTGCATGGTTAACTAATTCTGAATATAATTTTTTATATGTGTGTAATGAGCTGCATTTTTATGTAAAATTTAACTGTTCCTTTTGTTTATCAACCTCTTATTTCGATTGAATGTATGGGCATATAGGACCTGTATCAAAAAGTTTTAAAAGATCCAGATCCTGTAGCATTTTGTGATCTTGCTGCTCGTATACTTCGGTTTTTAAATCATGACGATCCGGATATTTGTATGGCAACTATTGATCAAGCACTTGATCGTTTCGCAATCGATAAGCGTACTTCATATAGAATTAATATGCAACGTCATCGTAACGGGAAATTGGTGCATCAGTTGGGACCGGCTGCTAGAGCTGCATTATTGGATAATTTAATTGAATCAGTTTATGATGAACAGCCGGATTTCAACTTTACAACATGTTTCAATAGTTCCATATCTACAAATAGTGTTGGTGGTGGTGGTGTTGTACGTGGTGGTGCTAATGGTTCCGGATCAACTGGTCTTGACCGAATCGATGCTCATGATTTATTTGGTTCTGGAGATTTAGGATCGAGTGATGGATGTAATGTTTTCGCTGAAACAGAAGATGTCAATGTACTTATTAAAGCTGGCCAGGATGCTCAAGGATGTAGTTACTATTATATGGATGGTAAGTGTATTTGCTTATTGTTCATCCATTATATATATACTTATAATTTCATGTTGAATAACTTTGACTTATATGCTTTTCTATTTATGAAAATGAGTATTTAATATAAATCAAAATCATTCCTTGAAAGTTGAAATTGTTTGGTATAAAAATCGTGGTTGTAAAATATAGGACATAGTTTTTTACAGTATCCCATACACTAACGACTCAATAAATATACACGAAATTGGCCCTTCATATCGTCTTTGTAGTTTCTGATGGTATCAGTCCTTGACTTTCGTCTATGTATAGACTTTCTGGGTAGGTAAACTGATTAATATTCTTGATTATTCTACTGTCCAACGTTAGACTAAATACCGGTTCTATCACTAATCACAAGTCAAAATCTATCACCACTTCGTTACGGTTTTTTAAAGGTTGGTGTTGGAATCCTTGACGCCACCTAAAATGGCATCTGAGATGAATTTCAAAAACAATAAATTAGCAAACATTCTCAATGAATACCAGGTAACTTGTTCACTTCTAATGGTTGCTTACCTCAACCTTTAATGTCACAACTACTATCTAATGAAAAAAACACTTAGTTATGTAGTTTATATATCATAGTGACGAATTATAGGTTTACCAAAGTTCTAGATCAAATAGCGTTAAGGTGTATCTAGTAGATATATCCACGCTTGACTTGAAATTGTCCATGTTTAATAAAGCGTTGAGTAACTCTGTCTTTTCAGATAATATAAACTATTTGAGTTAAGATTATTCTGTTTTTCTGAATCTGTCTTACTAGTTGTTAGAAATAATTATTCATTGATAAGGAATGTAGAACTTGGCATATATGTGCATCGGTTCATGTTCTCACACCACACGAGCACAAAAAACTGAAATTATTAAGACAACTCTTAGGGTAGTGGATAAAGCAACAGTATATGTAGTGGTTGAAAACAGTAGCCATAAACGGTGTGACTCGAGAAGAAACCATGAAATTTCGGAATAGAAAATCATAAGATAACTTCAAAACTGAAGACGTAACAAAAGACAAAGAGTGAATAGGTCTGTCTTGTTAAGAACACTTCTGAGATATATCATCAAACACCTCCAACTATTGGTTACGATAGTCAGATGGACCCTAACCAGATAGTCTTTATCGGTCTACTCAGATCAATCCAACAGTCAATGACTCCACGGACTGATATTATGTTTTGTTTTGACCACCATTAGTTTCCTTTCAACGTGTTCTTACACCAGCCAATATTAGGCGTCAAGTTAGACGAAGGTTCGAGATACACAATACATTTTCCGACCAACTCTGTCAATAGGGATTTGCTATCACATCAAGGGACTTGTCATGTTTAACTAGTAACCTGTGTCTAACTTTAGCATTACATACTAATCGAAGAGGACTATATGGCATTTGTGAGCTAAGTATTATCTTGATTATTGTTTCCTATAACCAGTAGCTAATAAGTCGCCTTAATGTATGTGAACTCGTTTGATATCTATCTAATACTCGTAATCAGTGATTGGACACATTGGATTGTGACATGGTACGGGTACGAGTTCAACCAGGTTTGTTGTGAGATAGTGGTGGATGTGTCGCTCAATTTCGTAAACTAGTTGACGTTAGACGTTAACACCATTGAATACCGACCGGCCCAGTGATCTAGTGGTTAAGCGCTTGCGCGCGAGACTGATAGATCCTTAAGTCCGAATCTGGAGATGAGGGATCATGGATGCTCACTACTGAGGAGTCCCACAATAGGACGGAACAGCCGTCAAGTGCTTCCATGTTTTCCATGGTGGTCTAGCTTTAATTGACTCATGGTCCCAACTATTGAAATCAATGTAATAATATTATTAATATTTTATTTTATTTTTCATTATTATCATTATCATTACTACTACTATTGTGATTATTTTTAACGTCTTAATACATATCAATGGTAATAAGCTTATAGTTTTCTTTATTCTTCAATGTTTACACTTCTTATTGAAAGTATTTGTGTTCATGTGTTAGAATGTAATACAATTAAAGAAAATACTTCAATATAGTAGAGTAACATGTTTTCTCTTCTTCATCATCATCATCATCATCACCATGGTTGCTTTAAAATCTCTGTATTTTCGATTTTTGTTTATCTATACATATTGTTGGATTTTTCTTCTCTCTCTGTCTACTTACATACTACTAGTTTGTCTAATATTATTACTATGTGCTTATTGTATTGTATTCTTTTCATTTATCAGTTGTTGATAGGTTTACTTTTTATTTATAATAATTTCAATATAAGTAGAGATGTATATGTATATATATATATATTAATAATTGGTGTATCCATGTGTATAGAAACAACAGTCACCACTACAACACTCTTACTCATTTGTGTATTGCTTAGGTTTAAAATTTTAATTTGTAAATAGATGTTAGTGACTAATTCCTTGTTAAATTGATTGATTGGCTAAATGATTGGCCAAAAAAAAACTGAATGTTGTGGTAACTTGTCTGGTTTACCTAATTAATGATTGGTTAATAATAATAATAAAAAAAATTAGTTGTTGAGATTGTAGAAGTATCAATGTTAACATGAATAGTAGTATTGTACAGTATCCTATAATGTATGACTCATTTTGTTGTTCTTCCCATTGTATATAACACCACATATATACACACATTAAAACTGTCTGAATTTGTATTCATAATTCGATTGAGATAAACATGTTGAGAAAATAAAAAGAAGAAAGTTTGAACTCTTAATAAAGGTTGATTCTATTTAAAAGAAACATAGAGATAAATGTTTTTGATCAGAAAATAGAATAATTTCTTTACATATGAGCTTGTGTCGTACTTTATGCGATAAATCGTTTCCCATCTTTAATGAATTCCATAAGGTAAATCAATTGAATTTGAGTTGTATAGGTCTATTGATTTCTGTTGCGTTACTGGTTATTAGACTTGTTCACAGCTTGATTGTTGTACAAAGTTGTAAAGATACATTACGCCTAAATGCCATGGTACGGCCGAGAGTGAGAAGAGTCAGCTCTCTCTCTCTCTCTCTCTCGAAATGAACTCACATGGCCACAAGTATACAGCCGATGTATATCACCAGCTATCTCACACAAATAGACACACAAAAACTGTATATTGTCAAGTCGAGTTAGTTGGTTTTAACATTAATAAACTGTGGTGCGTGCTACTTATATTGATATAAGTAGTATATTATGCGAGTCAGGAATGTAATGTCTGGCAGCAGAAGATGAGGGAAGATCACGAAAGCAAGAGCGGGAATAGAATGCAATTTGTATGAAAATGTAAGAACAATGAAGTCTGAGGCATTTTGAGACAATTGGTGGACATTTTGCAAATTAACGATTTAATATCTAGTTCTCAGATTTTATTGAGATGCTCTATAATTTTGTGTCAAATACATTCGGTTGTTCCCTACCCGTGTTCTGTTCACTACAAGACTAATGATTTTGGGATGAAAACGAGCTTTATTTTATTACTATATTGTTAATTAGAACACTGATCTGTAAATTTGTTTCTCCAATCGTTGACGACGGTAGTCTTGTTACATTCATGCATATTTCCACTTTCTCTTAATTCTTCACTTTTCAGATTTACGTCTTTATCGTGAACGTCCTCAAAATGGTATCTCATCACAATGGGATGTTGTTGTTGGTCCAACAGCTGATCAATGGTTAACATTTATTATGTCATTAAGTCGTAATGAAAAGGAATATGATTTATACTGTTTTTTAAAACAAGATTTGTTTGAATTAGTTAAAGAAAGTTTAGATGCATTAGAATTGCACACACCAAATAGTGAATTGGATTCAAGTTATTTACGTACAAAAGAATTGAATGAATTAACTGAATTAAAACGACGTCAACTAGGTGTAAATCATAAATCATTAGTTGAAAATGATAAATTATCATTGAATAGTAATAATCATCATCATCATAATGCAGTGAATCATCTTAGTGTGAATGGTCCAAAAAGTGCATCACCTGCATTTTCTGGCGGTCATGGTATCAGTGGAATTGGAAGTTCCGGTAGTTCTACATCTGGTGCACCACTTACGCCTAGTTCAGCTCGTACACCAACATCTGCACCACCCGCATCAAGCATACAACAACAATTATCATTACCGCCTCCTTCTTCAGATTGTTTAGAAACTTTACAAACATCAGTGAAAACAGAGTCTTCTTCCGGTACAAGTAAGTTATTCTTATTGTTGTATTATTATGATTATATATGTTGAAGAGTGTAAACTTCAAGCTCTTACATTTTCGCTCTCATTGATTTCTTCGAATTTATTAATAAAAAGTGATCCTAAAGATAACATACTTGTCGTAAGGCCTCAACTTTCTGAGTTTGAACCCCGACGAGTTTGTATACGAAACACTCTGTTAAAGATTCTTGAACAAGACACACTTACCCAACGATTCTTTCAGTTTTCAATGTTCCTGCAACCAAAGTTTTTTTTCCTTTAAACAGATTTATAATTAATCACATTGGTTCACAGTTAAATATCTCTTCCTGTTTGATTTAATTAGTGTTGGATCCATTATACATATATCTAAATAGTTGCGTGTGAGTCTTATAGCTGAACAAACAAACTTGTTACTTAGTTTATTGAATTGAGTTATTTCAGTTGATTGAATTGTTTTCAATTATTTTACGATATATATTAAAGACATATTTTCTTTGATAGACACATTCCTACTGTATTTCGTTCTCTCTCTCTCTCTCTCTCTCTCGTACACACACACATCTACAACCATCGTCTGGCTACTTTCGTTTTTCTCATGAGTAATTGATGTTACCATTGTGGTTTTTTGAGTATGTATGCGCGTAGTTTCATTGAATATTTCCTTGTTGATGTATGAGTGTGTATATGTGTGACTAAGTCACGTGTTTCATGATGAAGGTCAAATTAAACAAGTATACAGGTTTTTCAACAACAATCTTTGCAAAAACTAGAATTTTCAGTATTCATTCATATGATGAATAGATTGAACATTTATAACAAAAAAACACCTTATACATATTTTTCATAACACTTTCCAAGTGTAGTCTAGTAATGTACTTGACTTTAAGTCAGTCACACATACATGTGTGTGAGAAAGAGCTCAGTTCATAATAAACAATTCACCTAAACTAAAAGTGGGGTCGAACCTGTGATCTAATGGTCGTAAGCAGAGTGTTTTTGTTTAAAACTAGGACTTTATTGTCCTATAGTTGTTACATTTTTCTCTTCATAAATTTCTTTACTTTCCAATATGTGTAAACCTTCACCTTTAGACTAATCGGCAAGGTAGTAAACTAGTGATTACCTTTTTGCAAAAACAAACTTATCTAACAGAACAATAGAAGATGGTTTGACGATCAACCATTCAATTATTATGGGATTTTAGAATTACTTTCATTTGGTGTGATTTTCTTGACTGAACAGTTAATATATCCTTAGTTCTTATACACAAAAATAACTTCTCTAACCGATTCAATGCACTTACTTACGCCTGTTACTCCCAATGGAGCATAGGCCGCTGACCAGCATTCTCCAACCCACTCTGTCCTGGGCCTTCTTTTCTAGTTCCATCCAATTCTTGTTCATTTTTCTCATGTCTATGTGTTCTTTGGTCTTCCTCTTTTCCTTTGGCCTTGAGGATTCCATGTAAGGGCTTGTCTTGTGACGCAGTTGGGTTCATTCCTCAATGTGTGTCCTATCCACTTCCAGCGCTTCTTCCTGATTTCTTCCTCCGCTGGGATCTGTGTGTTTTTAATTTTTTAATTTATTTGAACATAAATATTAGTACAAAGGGGCACCCAATACACAAGTCACTGGATTTGTGTGTGGGCTGTGATACTGCCCGGGTGACCAAATCGAAGCAGTTAGTTTTCTTCGGGGACCACACCTGGAGTCTCCGACCTAAAGGTCTAATCCACACGTCAATGAAGCAACGTCAGGAGATGCAGTCCCATGATAGCTGGTGACCAATAATATATTCATACACCATTTGTTCCCTCAGGATCATGGAGCCTATGTGCACCATCGGTTTAGAATCAGGGTTTTCTAACTCCCCTACGTGGATGTTCTATATCCACCAACGTGGTCAAAGCGCCTGACATTCGCTTTCCGTCCTCAATTTCGTGAACAACACCCGTGTTACGAGAAGGCAGTGAGTAGGATTTCCCTGGTAGTGGATGTGTACTTGTGGCTATGTGAGAGCATTTTGAGAGAAGGAGAGATGACTCTACTCACTCTTGGCCATACCAGGGCATTTGGGGTATACTTAAATGTGCTGTCTAAACTAAAGTTTAGCGCATAAATATTATTATTAATCGTAGTATTTGACTACCCATTTCTCGGCTAGTGGTGTGTGTATGTGGGTATTTTGCAATACATTCAATATATACACCGGCCTACTACTTTTGTTGTTGTGTTATTTTATCTAAGAACACCTTAATCTAATTTTTCCTAGCTTTCTATGGTAATTTAATTGAGATCAGTTTTTGAAATATATTACTTACAAATTACAAAAGTATCTTTATAAGATACCTTCTTTTAAACATTACAATTTGTTCATTTTCATGATAACTACTCAAAACACTCAAATATACCTATCACGTGTTGCGTATGCCTAAACACCAATCACCACGACGCGCAATGCTAACTAGTGTTGGAAATGGTTAGAAGAAAGTTAGGGGCGGGCAAACCAAAACGTGGCATCAGTGTTTGAAGTCACTAACTTCTTGTCTGACCCCATGTTGGTAGGTGCAGACTACTTGGTTTGGTTCCGAGTGACTATCGTAACCAATGGTTGGAGATTCTGAGTGACATGGCTCAAAATCGATCACAATGGTGTAGGTGTGTATACACTCTCTGTCTTCCCTTAAACTATGAGATTAAGGTCGCTTCATATCTTTCATTCTACCAACTAATTGTTTCTTCCTGTATGATATCCTTATATGCGATGTTTCTTTTATATATTACCACTATTGAACTAACTACTTCTGTAAATTCGATGTTCATCATGTTATGCTAATGAGGTATGTCAACTTGAACCGATGTATATATGTGCCTTGTCCTACGTTGTATCCGACTGACTGACATATAAACAATAATAATCATAACAGAAACAGTTTTTTCTCTATTCCTCTTTCTAATATTAACATGAGGTCGGTTATTAGTAGTTTTAGTTTTATATCAATGATCATATGACTCCCTAGGACACACTCAATCTAATTTATTTGTTTTTTCTCTATTTATTCATTATTTGAAAATGTACTTTATGTTTTCAATGTAAAAAGAGATAAATATCATCATATGATAATACTAATGACATTGTTGATGCTAGTAAGCTTCCTAACTAATGAACTAATCCACTCACTCACTCACTCACTCACTCACTCACTCACTCACTCACTCACTCAATCACTCATTCGTTCATTCATCTATTCTGTACATAGAATAGTCAGCTAGTTTAATAAGTCTCATTCTCGAAAATATATTTTGTTCATATATCTCCTCAATAATTTCTGAAAAATTGACTTTATAAAATGGTACTATATTTTACCTAAACAAATGATATCAAAACTATTTAACCTCATTTTTGATTTCTCTTGACACAGGTTCAAAAGTCAAACTTGTTTCACTTTTAGCGTAGGCAAGATATTGATCTGCCAACCCAAAGTCGACTTTACTGCTCAACAGTTCACTCCAATTTGAAATATGGTCATTAAGAATAAAGGATATTTGTAGATTACTAGTGTCCGATAATAGGTGTCTTCGAAACATTGTTCGTGTATTATGGGATCACTGAGTAAGCAGTATCTGGGTTAGGAATAGGGTACCTTCTAAGGATGGAGAATTGATTAAGGAGATAGTAAACATGCACTAATTGAGGTAGTTGGGACATATGTTACGTATACCCAGTCACCAGTTACCTCGACGGATGATATCTTATGTGATAGTGCGCTAGAATTTGAATGACATGGCTCAAAATCGTTTGCAGTTACTCAGGTGCATCCATTCCTTGTCTTTCCACAAATTATGAGATTTTGAATTCCTCATAATTTTTTTTTTGTTTTTATTTCATTGATTTACAAATCTTATATATTTTATCTTTCCTGTTGCCATTGATAGTGTTACTACCTTTACTATTTTGGAATTTGTCCTGACAATTTCGTCTGTCTGTGTTAATTGGTTATGGCAACTAGAACTGATGTACATACGTACCAGGATCTACGATTTAACTGGCTGATCATAGTGTAAAATGATTTTAGATTTATAATTTTTTTTTAATTCAGTGAAAAAAATGACTGTCAATTTTCAGTATGAATTTGTTTTTTGAAACTATTCCTAACATTCTTCTACCTTCTCACATACTGTAACTTATTTCAATTTGTACAGTTAAGTGTTAAATCTCACAATACTTATAATAACTGCAAAGTCTCTCACAAAACTACTGATTTACAGAATGAATAACTAGTTGTCACGTTTAGTTTGTCAGTCAGTTAGTCAGCTAAAACGTTTAGTTTTTAGATCTAACTGTATCTTACACCAACTATTTTGAATTGTTTTCATATGAGTAGTAAATTTAGAAATATCTCATATTGTAACTTATTCACCATCTTCTACTACTCAATTTTACGTTATACAGTTTATGAGTCGGAGGAGTACAATTCGAATCTGAAATCATCTGTTAGTTAAATACTGAATCCTTTAACCAGTAATCTATACCATTTCACTATTGCCGAATTAATTATTATTATTAATGAACACTTTCCTCTTAACAAAAAACATCATCATATTGCAAGAATTAACACAGATCATTTGAGGCGACCTACTACTATCATTATTCTTGATAAATAAACAATTTAACTATGAGTAATAGTTTACATATGGTAGATCTGATCAAAATATTGTCTGTAGTGTAAATAGGATGTAAGCTCAATGTACACATTAATGAGATGGTAGAGAAGATTTGTGGCTCAGGTGGATGGTTTTGTTCTCTGAGCACGACCAAAACCATCCAGCTCAGAGAATAAAACTCCATTAAAAAAAAAATACATGAATGAGCAAATTTATTATTTTTACTATTATTTAATATGATTGTTTGCTACTAAATCAATTTGTTGTTCTCGTTTAGTCTTTCTCTTTTTTTTTCGGAATAATTATCGCATATGTGTGTGTGTGTGTGTACGTTTATAT